TATTGCACATGGCATCACTTGCATCGAGAAAAAAAAAATGCATGCGGTTGGAAGAATACATTCCAATTCAATTGAATTCTCTTCCATCTATTAAGTGGGACCCAATGACTTTAGTCTAATACAAAAAAAGGGTTGTGTGATCACAAGAACTAATGATAATGGAAGACCTAATATGAATCTAGCAATCCTCAACAATTAAAGTGTTCATAAGAATAGGTAAAAAAAAGTGTTGATGAGAAAGAAAGGTGAAACCTTTAACTTGAGACAAATATTTAAATTTAAAATATTAACATTTTTATTCCCATGATCATGAGACAAATATTTTATCTACTTCTTGTATGAGGTAAACTAACAACTTAACTCCATTAAAATTAAAATACTCCATAAAGTAGATGTAATAAAGACTAAATTGAAGTAGTCTTGAATACATAAATTAAAGCCTATAATGACTACATATAAAAAAAAAGATTCACCATCTTCTACCCAAGAGTCTTGAAACCAATATACACACAACACCATTGAAGCAATGATACAAACGTTTAATTTCTACCTCAATAAATCCAAGCTTTCTCTTAATTCTTGTAAATGGGCATTTACATTCAGGAGTCTTTCTAAGATTGGATAGAAAAAACCATATTGTCATCAGCCAATCTATCCAAATGACCCAAGAGCTGGTTGATAACATCGTTAGGACCTCTGACCAAGGTCTCCATTGTGCCAAGCAAAAAACCACAACCACCACCCTGTAGAAGACAATATATGATAGAACATGAAGCCATACACAGTCAAGCACCACCTAGTGAATCATAGATGGAAACTTAAAATTAGTTCTGCCAACCATAAAATTACCTCCCAAGGTTATACTCAGTCTATGATGTCTACCTAGGAGCAATCAAATAGTAATGGCAAAATATGGCTTCACTAGAATACTCAGTCTCCCTGGATCCGTGCCTCATGAAAGACAATCACCTTAGACCAAAATTAAAATAAGGTAATGCCAAATCAACCATAGAATGAGCAGATAGACTGTGGTTAAAGTGAACGGATGAAGTTGATGGCCAACGAAAGTGGAACATGCAGATGAAAGGATAAAAAGGTATGAGAAATGATTCAGGAAAAGATTAAATCTATGTGTTGTGTATAAATTAGAAGAGATTCAAATACAATCTGAAGAAGTGAGAATAAAGGGGTCTGAGAAATAGGAGGGAAAGTTCAATGATGTGGGCCCAATTTTTGTTAGCCGAATCCAAATCCATTACTATTCATCATAGCCGGTCCTATTCATCAGGGAAAGGAAATGAGAGAGGAGCTGATAGAAATTGAACGGCTTAAAAAGAAGGGTTTTGTATAAGATATTAGATTGTTAAAGAAATAGTGCAACTAACTAAGGTGGTGGTCTCAACAACTTTACCTACCTCGTTCACTACCCGTAGTAGCTTTTAGCTTGCAATAGTTTAAAATCTTCAAGAATAAACTTGAGTTAAAACTGTACCACCAATACTAGAGCAAAAAAGTTGAGGCTAAAGGTATGACAACCAAGGTTAGGCCTATTGGTATAGGAAGTAGCTACAATTGTAAAAGATTCAACTGGGAGTTATTAAGACTGAGGGCGTGACAACCAAGCAAAGTTGATGAGGATGATATTTGGAGATCAAACCTTGCTATGAGTGATAGCAGACACATAATTTAAAAGAAGATGGTTGGACCAAATCAAAGGTGGGCTTGGAATATTAGACAAAATCACATAGGAGGTGCATACAATTACCCAATTAAGACTGATGACCTGATGTAAGTGTAGATTCTAGTATAAGAGATAAGGTGGGGATATCTATAACAATCAGTAATAAGACCATAAGTGAAAATGAAGATACAAGAAAAGGTGACCATAATGTATATTCCTTTGATCCATCTAAGTTTGGGCATCACCCATGATTGTGCCAACACTCCTTCTTTAACCACCATTATTATTATGTGCAAATCACCATCAAAACATTCCTTACACACTATCAACTCATGCCAAGATGAGAGATAGAGGAGATAAAGGTGAGAGGTAGATAGAGATAGAGTAGGGAGGAGAGAGTAGAAGGAAGAGGGAGAAGAAGTAAAAGCCACTAATATTTTATAATAAAAATATATTTTAAAAAAGGTGGGACCCACTGATGATATATAAATGTTAGGCATTTTTAATGTCATAATGTAACATCCTAATTTTTAGGTCACAATTTGTTATGGGAATTGAGGAATTTAGATTGTGGATTAATAACATTTGAGGTTTAATTAGGGAATAAATTTGTGTTCAAGGTTATTTGAAATTAACCAAACTGTTTAGGCATTAGTTACAACTTGAATTAGGCCTATATTATATATTAGGCTGTAACAGGGTCTAAAATAAGTATTGGGCTGAATCTAACCCAAAAATTTATGGATTTAAGTGGAGAGGGTTGTTTTTGTGTCATACACCATAGTGCATGGTGTGTCCACTGTGACACACAACTCAAAATCTGGTTTAATGCTCCAGCCACAAATGGAAAAATAAGGAGATATTTTTAAGAGGGTTTATGTGGAAAATAAGTGCTCTGCTAAGGTTTTACTCAAGGCATTAATTATGCCCAATTTTAAGGCTCTAAAGGTTTAAGGTAACCACCCTCATAACCTTTTCTTTACTTATCCCTCTTCATTTTAAGCCGGATATCTTCATGGGTGTTGTTAGGGTTTTGATTTTGATACTACTCAGCCCTTAGAATTGAACCCTATGGATGTTTTAAAGTTAAATATGTGTTTTTGGATAGTTTTAAGATTGTTTATGATAATGAGTATGTTGAATTTGAAACCCTGGGCTAGATAGATGAATTTTTTATTATGTCTGGGTGCTGTGTTGAGATCAAATAAGGCTAATATAAGTGTAACGATGATAATTATGAGTTCATGTGAGAGATTAAATGGTTTTAGCACCTTTGGATTAATTAATTTAATTAACAACTTAATCCTAGGATTAGAGTGTGATTAGTGTATTGACACTTTTATTAGTGTTAATTATCATTTTATTAACTATATTTAGTATTGCATTTTATGTAGATTGTGGCAAAAAAACTCATTGAAGGTGAAAGTTTGTTTGTTTGGGAAGCTTTATTAGCAAAGAGGGAAGATAACCATTATTAATGTGTAATTTCATGTGTTTGTGATTTCTATGTGTGCTTTTGATGTGTTTGAAAATTAAATTGCATTTGGAAAACATGTTTAGTGTTTGGAAAATTATTTGCCAAGTGGGATGCTATATATGTTTGTATATATAATGTTCAATATGAAATTGTGTTGGAAACATGAAAAAAAATATTTAGACATGTTTTCTTATTCAGATATATTTGAAATATGCATGACTTCTCGAGTTTGAAAGATATGTGTGTTGGGAATTTTGTTCAAAGGTAATATACCACGTGGTATACCCTTATTGAACCTAATGAGTGATACTTAACTTGAACCGACTTATATTTGGCTAGGTTGTTGGTTTCAAACATGACATAAAGAGGGATATAAATTGTATCATGCATTTTTGTTTGAATTGTTTGAATAAATTGTGTTTGGAAACATGTTATAATATGCCCACTTAGCAAACACATTGTTAATTGCATTACATGCATAATTGAGTATTAATTTTAGTTACTGAGACCTTTGTGTCTCTCTCCTTGTGGCTTAAGATTTTATGAGAAAGAGCCCAACCAAAGAAGCATCAAAAGAATAGTTAGTGTATATGGGCACTCCTTTAATTACCAATATTTCTTCAAGGAGGCCCAAGAAAAGAATAAAAAACAATACTTTCAATGAAGATGTGGTTTGTCAAAAAAAAATTAATGAGGTTGTTATTATTGTTGCATCTGCATCTAGCTTTTCTGTGTTGTTTCAAAATGACAAACTCACACTACAAGATAACAGGGTTTAGGATGAAAATTTGCATGATGAAATATAATTAAAGAGTCACAAATGCATCTTAAAATTCTTCCAAACTCCATCCCAAATATTTGTCCAAGACTTTTAAGATGTCAAATTTTTGGGACGCCATTTGTTCCCAAGTTCCATCCCAAAAATTGGGACAAAACTTGGGAACAAATGGCATCCCAAAAAATTTTGGGATGGAATTTGCAACACAATTTTACGTCCTAAGTCTTGCAACGAAATTGAGGGCAACAAATGACGTCCTAAATATTTGTGATGGCAAGTATGTTCAATTTATCTATCCCAAAAATATTTGTGAAGGATGTTTGGACAAAATCTTCCTTCACATTGTATTCTATCTCAATGATGTGACAATTTTATAGCAAAATATTTGATGATACATATTTATATTTTTTTCATTACAATTATTTTTATAATAAATATGAAAATGGATCTATTTAATTTGTATGAAATTATATATTTTTTTAAGTTTTTGTATTCAATTGAAACTAAACATATATTTATAATACTTTTTTGCTGATTTATATACATTATATATTTATAATTAATTTCTATTATCTGATTATATTTTTTTATTAGAATAATATGTATAGTGATTATAATTAAAGTTAAAATGAACAAACGTGCAATAAATTATTAGTTTAGAAATAATTGATATTTGCTGTGCATTTTCAATCATATTATTCTCTCTATAATTAAAATCCAAGTACACATTCTAGTCTCTAATTGAAAGTGATTTAGTTTCTTCAACAATCTCATGGCAAGGGTGATCTTGTTGAACTTCTCTAATAATCAAATTATTGTCAGCTTAGAATCATTATACACCTCACATGTTTTAAACCTTTGTTTCACCAAATATTTAGAACTACAGTTTTATTTTTGCTATAGTCGATGGCAGGGGCGGAACCAGCTTCTAATTCTTGTGGGGCCAAATACTTAGTAAAAAAATGACACAAGATTTAACTAAAGATATTGCAAATTATATAATAATATGTGAAAGGTTAGCTTGTCTTTTCAGATCAAGAAAGCTTTACCCTTCTCTCCTTCATGTCATTAAAATCATCTACAAGAGATTCTATATCAAATTTTTTAACAATTCTTTTTTTAATATACAAAAGCAAAGAATCAGAAAGGTATCCCTCATGCATCTTGTTGCGAAGCATGGTCTTAATAGTGCTCATAGCTGAAAAAGATTGCTCTATTGTAGCTGTAGAAACTGGAAGAGTGAGAATCAAAGTCACAACTCCATATACAAGAAGATAAATTTTTGATTTTCATGTTTTCACCAACCATTGACATAAATCAGAAATGGTAACCAATGTTTGAAAATCAAGAAGTTGTATGACATAGCCAAAATGCTCAAATTGTATCTTTAATTGTAGCATTTCATGTGCCAAAAAATCTTGTAGATAGAACTTTTCTACCATCTTGCAAATATCCTCAATTATAAACAATATTCACATTTCCCTTTGGATCCAAAGCTGAGCTAAGAATAAGCAACTCCACCACATCATTATTAAATTTTTAATTCAATTCTTGTAATTAAGAGTCTATCATTGCATTGAAAATGTCAACTTTATAATGATGCCCGATTGTAAATTCATCTTGTTGATGGCGAGCCTTCCTCTTTTACTAATATAATGAGCATTAAAATCAGGAACAGGAATATTGACTAATTCACAAAAATATTTTACCTTCACAACTAACTCTTTCCATCTATCATCTCTTAATTTATGAATAAGAAGCTTAGTAGATGAAACAAGATGTATTGCATTCACAATATCTTAATATTGAAGTTGTAGAGTTTGACAAAGAAAATTAGAAATCTCTAAAATTTCTTTCATAAGATGCATGATGAAAACAAACTTAAAGGAAGCTAGCATCTCATAAGCTACATCTGCATCTGCACGCTGAGTAACAGTAGTTCCATCCTCAATTATATTCATCAAAACTTCACATGTAGCACTAAAGATTTTCATCAAGCTTGAAATAGATTTCAAATGAGAACTCTAACGAGTGTCCCTAGCCCTTTGTAAAGAACCAATTTGATTAAACCCTCTTCCACTTTCAAGCTCATTAATCTCAAGTAAATAGGCAATATTTTCAGCATGAGTATTTTTTAATTGATTATTGTGCTTACAAGAGGCACCAAAAATATTAACAGTAGTACCCAATGAAGAAAAAAATTGATCGATAGGAATAACTTCTTTAAATGCAGCAACCAATGCCAATTGCAAACGATATGCCATACAATATACATGATATGCATATGGGCATTCATTTGAACACAAATATTGAAAAGGATCGGCTTTAATATAAGCTCTCCTAACTTCATCACGCATCTCAATAGGATATTCCCATATTTGTCTCCTCAATCCTGGATCATGTTGTAATGAGTTGATATCAAAATTTTCATTAGTCTGCATTCTTGAATTTTTTGAAGGAGGATGTTAGGGAAGTAGCTCCTCAATAGGAGGTTGATGTTCAATTTCCAGCAGAGAACTTAATCCCCCATCAAGTTGTGAAATTTCCACATTCTTTCTTTTAAAGAATGAATATAGTGTCTTTTTCATCTAAAAAATTAAAAAAGCTAATAAGAAGCTAACAAATAAGAATCTTTTTTAAATTTGAGAAATATAAATTAAAACATATAAATAGAATTAGTGACAGAAAACACAAACATATAAATTATAAATAAAAATACCAAAATAACACATAACCATCTAAATTTCATATAAATCCAAATTCTAAAATCACAAAATGCATGTATGATGTGTCAAGTGTGGATGCCTAAGCCTTAATGAGTATTAGTGTTTGTTGTGAAGTGTGCCTTTTTTGGCTTTTGCTATCCATCATCCTCATCCATTCTCATTTCTCCATATTAAATTGATTTCGGGAATCAGAGAAAAAGACTCGAACTAATTCATCAACATTGCATCATCATTCATCAAAAAATCAAAGAAACTCAAACGGAAATGCGAACTGAAAATCCAATCTCCAAAGTCCAAAGGTCAAAGTCAAACTGAATAGCAAAACAACTTAAGAGGGGTTTGGGCATTTGGGAAGTAAGTGCCGAAGTCAAAGTAGGAAACATACCTTTGCTTTGCAGTCGCTAATGGTCAAGTCATCAAGTAATCATTGCTCCTAAGCTTGGACTAGAATAGGATGCCAGCGACAGCAAGAAGAACACATAGAAGAAGGCAAAGACGAGACCATGAGAGGCAAGAGTAGAGGTAGCTTATCAGACACTTCACCCAAATTAACAAATTTAAATCATTATTTTAAAATATATCAATCTTATTTATTTTAAGTTAGGTTAATTATTTTGGGCTGGATCATATATTTAAGTTAGGCTAGGTTAAATTATATTATGAGATTAAGAGTATATAATAAAAAAATTTTAAGGCCTAAAAATATCTTCCAACATACTCCCTATACCTTACAAATTAAAAAAAAAATCTGGCCCCCCTCACCCATAAAGTAGGTCCATCCCTGGTAGGTGGTAGGTCATCTAATTGATTACTAAAACCTACTGTCACACCTCGATGCTAAGGGTGTAATCGGCATGAAATGTGAGATAAACTCATATTCTATAAGCCTTCATTTATCAAGAACTAAGCTAAAATATCGATATATGTAATTTAAATATAATAAAAAGTTTGTAAAATTTTAAATGTTTTGTAAAAATTTCAACAAATTCTCTTCCATAATTTAGACCTCTCAAAATTTCCACAACAACAACAAAACCTGCCAACTAGACCAACAAAGAGACTAGCTCTATTCCAACAATTTACATAATAACCAAATAAAACCAGGACCTAACTATGGTGTACGTAAAGTACTTAGTTATGATTGCAAAATATAATACATAGTTTTATCAAAACAATAGTCGCAATATGCCTCCTCCTTTCCCAAAAAGGCAAAAGGGCTTCTCAATGATCTACTGAAGGTGTAGAATCAGCTATACTATCTGAGACCAAAAAAATTACCGGTAAGTAGTGTTCCAATTTTATATATATGTGTATATAAATATATGAAGACATTAATAAATAAATTTAATTTAAAAATTTTGAAATAATGAAACATGAACTTAAACTAATAATAATAAACAATAAGTTTTATCAATGATACAGTCATGAATTTGAATAATTTTAATAAGGAAAAATAATTTACCAAAATTTTTAATGGTCATAGAATATAAAAATTTCACACAACGACATGACTAGGTAGAATTCTTTTAAAGAAATAATATAAAAATAATAAAATTTAAGTTTAGATCTAGGAGGGCTTTATCAGAATGAATAACAAGCGTGGACATATAGTCTATAAGAGTAACAAACCAAGCTTGGACATACAATTCACGAAGGTAAGTAACCAATCAAATATAACTAAAGCCATGAGTCAAGCGCAGACATAAGGCCCACGAACAAGCATGAGTACAATACTCACAAATAATCATCCCTCCATTCCACGTGCATTGGCCTACACATGGGGCTAGCACCTCTCACAAACACCTTGCTAGCTAGGTATACCATAACACGTCAAGGGCTAACGAAACTGCCGTTAGCATATAGCGTTCTGAATTCAACCCCCTTATTAAAATCAAGTGTGTATGGAGAAGAAAAAAATAATTTTAAAATTCTCACTTTCAAATTTTATTCAACTATCATTTTTCATTGTCCAAAATTATCATCATTTTCTCCATACACAAATCATTTTAATAAAAATTTTATATCAACATAAAATTAAATAATTAAACTGCTTATGAGAAATAATATTATTAATATGAAAATAGGATTAACAAGAATATGTAAACAATTTATAAAGTAATAATAATAATATTTAAATAAAGAAATTTGTATAACACTTTACTAAAAATATATTTGAAATGCCACCCACTCACCTAAGAGTTTTTAAGAATTTTAAAACTTGCCCCTGTCAAGTTCTTACTTACTTCAGTGATTCTCCAAATAATCTAACACATAATCTAACAATCCTCTTGTTATTATGAATTTTCCTTCTTATAATAAACAAGCAAAATTAACATTCAAAATCTTTGATAATCCTTTAAATTTCTCATTAACCCCTTAAATTTTTACTAAACCCTTCAACAACTATCAAGTAATCAACAACACTAGGCAACATTCAACCATAACCATTAACACAACTCCTATTCCAAACTTAACAAAATCCTAATTGTCATTTAGTCTAATAATTTCCCTTCAGGTGCTACATGATTCCAATGAGTAACTCAACTTGTATGTAAAGACATATATTTCATCAAGTAGCATTTATAATTCCTCTAGGTCCTATTATGAAAAATAATTAGTCATATTTCCACCACATCTTGTTATGATTCTATAATATTGGCTATAGTTAGTTAGGGGATTTGACCGTTAGGTACTGTAGGTAGCCATTAGGTTTTATCTTATATGTCTATATATATATATATATATATATGATTCTTATAATGGAATGTATGATATGATGACAGAGTAATAAGATCAAAATTCTCATAATCCTTTTCCTCTCTAATATCTCTCAACCTCTTCTCCTTTGACTTCTCTATTTGTCCTGTTCTTCTCTATTTTCTCCTCTAACTCTCTAAATCTTATATTTCTATATCAATGGTATTAGAGCTAACACTCCTCGGCTACTTTCTTTTCCTTCTACTCACTCTACAGTTTATGGTAAAAACATGAATCCAAATTTAACAAGAAATGGAACAAAGGTTGCATCAAGTTGAGCAAAGACTGACCAAGTTAGACGCCACCGACACCCTAAGCGATCAAGTTATGAGTTTGTCAGAACAGATCCAATTGATGATGAGTGACCAAGAGGAAGAGTCAACAAATCAGGATCAATATGGTAGACAGGGAAGAAACAACTATCATCAACCACATGAAAAAGACCATCATCATTGAGAAGACTATCGAAGACCCACCCAATTCACAAACATGAATTTCCCCAAATTCTCTCATTCAGATGTTCTGGGATGGGTCAGAAGATGCGAGTGTTACTTTGAATTAGATGATACCCTAGAAGAAGATAAAGTAAAGATGGCCTCAATTTCTTTGGATAAGAAGGCTTGGTCCTGGCATACTTCCATGGAAAAAACTTGATTCAGTATGAACCCAACGTAGGTCAAGTATGTGGAAGCCTTGAAGCAACATTTCAAACCCATTCATGAGACACCTCTCGAAGATTTGATGAGATTACAACAAAAGGGTTCTTTAGCCGACTTTAGTGATGTGTTTGACACTGTGGCTTACAAGCTGGATTTTTTACAAGAAATGCTAGTTGAAGCGTATCTGGAAGGCTTAATCGAAGATTATATGGGGCTTTTAAGAATCTTCAAACTAAAAACCCTCCAAGAAGCTTGATCCCTAGCTTAAATGCAAGAGATAATGCTGCAAAGACAACACAAGAAGAAGATAGGTGTTAAATCTTTTGTCTAAATGCCCACGAGTTTAAGTGTCTCGTCATTACCCCAGCAGCAAACATGGACAGGCCACAACCATACACCTTACAAGAATGCTTTATTAAATAGTGGGACCCAGTCAAAAGGGAAGACTACATCTAACTCTCAAAAAGCTTCTTTTCTAAGGCTCCTCTTCAAATTCTTTTTCAAAAAGCACCTCTAATTTTCCTAAATTCCTATCTGCAACAGAAGAGGCAGAGCATAAAAGCAAAAATCTATGTTTCTACTATCATGAGAAATTTTCTCATGATCATAAGTGCCCTCAATGATAGCAACTGCAGCTACAATATATTGAGCTATCAGAAACTCCAGAAAAAGCCTCAAGTTATGAACAAGGCGAGGAGGGAAGAGTTGATGAAGAAGAAACTCCTTCGATTTCCTTATATGCCATTAAGGGAATTGAAAATGCTTTATCAATGAGATTAGTGAGCCACTGTGGCAAGAAGCAACTTCAGATCCTCATTAATAGCGGGAGCACACATGATTTTCTAGACTTGGAACTAGCAAGGAAAATGGTTTAGCAACTTACTGGTACCCCTGAGTCTTGGGTAGAAGTTGATGGTGGCAAAAGTTAGAGGTGCATGGGATTTAGGAGAATTTCAAATAACATATGTAAGGGTTAGATTTTGTTTTGGATTTCAAAATTTTAGAACTCCATTCTTATGACATGGTATTAGGGCTGCACTAGCTGTAAAGCATCAGAAATGCTTTTTGGAATTATGAAACCCTTACTGTGTTCTTTTAGTATAAAGGGAATTATGTAGACTACAATCTAATGTTTCTAATCAGTGGAAGATGGTACAACCTAAGCATTTGGAGTTCAATAGCAACTTAGAAGATCAAATGTAATTACTGCAATGCCTTAATAGTCAACAAGAAGATTGGCAATGTTTTTCGGCCCAAACAGCCTTAGGACCTCCAAACATGATTTCTACTATTTTAGAGGATTTTCTTGATTTATTTAAAAAGCCCCAAGGCCTACCACCATTCAGAAAAGGACACAATTATCTAATTGTTTTGAAAGAATGCACTAATCCTATTAATTTGAAACCATATTGATATCCCACAACTCAGAGAAATGTCATTGAACAACTTGTGGGAGATCTTAAAAATAGGGTCATACAAGAAAGTGTTTCACCCTATTCAGCTCCTATAGTGCTAGTTAAGAAGAAGGATGGCACATGTCGGATGTATATAGATTATAGGGAGCTAAACAAAAGAACTATTAAAAACCAATACCCCATCCTACTAGTTGAAGACTTATTTGATAAGTTAAGTAGGGCTAGGTGGTTTACAAAATTAGATTTAAGGGATGAATATCATCAAATATGCATGGTACCAGAAGATATTCACAAGACTATATTTAAAACTCACAGTGGGCATTTTGAGTGGCTGGTTATGCCATTTGGCTTAACCAATGCTCTAGCCACCTTTCAAGGGATGAATAGTATTTTCAGACTATTTTAAAGAAGGTTTGTTTTAGTTTTTTTATGATATTTTGGTTTATAGCGATGATATTGTGGAACATGTGTATCGTTTAGAATAGGTTTTTTCAATATTAAGTTAGCATCAATATTTTGTTAAGAAAAGTAAATGCTCCTTTGCTGCAACTAAAGTGGAATACTTAGGGCATTTAATTGGAGAAGGCACTATCAAGACTAATCCAAGGAAGTT